GGGATCGTAGAAGATGGAGAATAGAACAGCGATATTGAACAGTTCTTGTAAAGTGAGCCGTGCACTTAACTGCCATACAGGATGTCATTTGTATGAGCCTTTACATTGACCTGGAAAGAAGCTGTGGTCATTTAGTGTCGTCCTTAATCTCAAAAGCAATGAAGAGAGTCGAAATAATGGAAACAGTGTGGGCCCCAATCAAAGGGTGCTGGTGAGGAGATCCGCGTTGCGGCGGCGCGGCGGAGATCGCGTAGTGTGGGGCGTTCGCTCCAGGACCTTAGGGCAGAAAAGTGGTGCACTGAGCAAAACCACCCCGAATTCGGCTACTTTTGCTTCTCGCGGCATCCCCAATTAACCTGCCACGACATGGAGGGCTCCATTGGCCTGGGAATGCCTACTGCTTCTACCAGACCAATCGAGGCTTCGAAGTGAGGTGCTATGGATTTCAGCCTATGCGCTACCCATACAGCTGTGTTCGCTGCGGATGCTGGGGCGTGTCAGGGGACGGAAGGTGGGCTTGGTTTGGAGCGACGCCAGCCCTTTTTCTCACCAACTGTTGTCGCTTGCGCTTTTCACAACTTAGAAGAGAACAAGCTGGCGCTGCGCCAGACCTGGCCCCACTGACACACTCTAGTATCCACAGCGAACAAGGCCGCTCCTTCTTGTGTGGATAGACACCTTGTTCTCCTTCAGAGAGTTCTTTCACCTCTCTTTTCAATATTATTCCTACAACTACAAAACTCCTTCCTTGAACTGCCTTTCCTTTCGAGTTTAATTGAATTTCTGTGTGCCTTCCTTTCTTCTTTGCCAGTTTGGTTTTTTTCGAGAATTCTGTGGCCATTGCAAATAGCAGATGTGAAGACATCATGTGAACCATTTTTCTTCCCGTTTGCCCGAATTTCCCACCGCTGAGAGGTCTGGCCATTTGTTTGCAAAGCTCTTTTATTTCTCATTCTTTTTTGAAGCCGTCATCTGAGGAAGCACGCGTAGCACTGCGCCTTTCGCCTAACAGGGAGCTAGCAAGCTTTGAGCACATAGGGGGGTTGGAGAGAAGCTCACATGATATCGCCACATCTTCATCTTCACCAATTCTCGTGTCCTATTGGGATCCTAATTTTAAGGGGGGGGGGATAGCGAAATTACCAACGGTCTACTTTCCTCTGTTTTATTCCCGTATCTCCCACAGAGGAGCTGATTTTCCGTTCAGATCCCGTCCAAGTCATGTTTTTGTGGACATCGACGGACCCATTTGAGACACATCTCGTTCAAATGAACGAACCTCGACTGTCTGGCGCATTCAGCTGAAGGCTTTGCTGGCTCCATATTCCAGGAAGCGCCGTGGCATAATTCGCTGCGAATGCTGGGACGTGTCGCGGAAAGGGTTCGGCGCAGCTTCCGCCGTTCTCCGCACCAATTTTCGAATGCGAGCGACAAGTAGCGGTAAATGTGGGGCTGGCGCCCGCGCCAAACCCAGCCTCCTGACATAGCAGCATCAGCATTTGCAGTGATCAGGACCGTGGGCGTTTTGTTCCTTTAGCGCTGGACCTCTAAAACCCATTGAGCCCTCTTAAATGCTTACGTAAACCACATCATACGTATGATCTATTCAAACACCTGTTTTTCTGAATGTAAGACGATTGCATGGCTCAGCCCATGATGATCCAACAGCAAAGCAGCACAGTTTTGCGTCTAGCGCCTTCTATAAAACTTTTGTCGGCATCAAATCACTATAGTCCTGGCTCAGACAGCCCGCCACTTTTTTGCCAACTTTTTTTCTCAGCACTTTTTTGCTCGCTCTCTTCTGGCTTCTAAAAACTATGGGCGCGCCCAAAACAGCAACCCTTTGTAGAAGCGATCCCTTTTTAACGACAGGATAGGACTTTCTGCATTGTCCAATGGACTTTGAGTAACGAGTTTCACTAGTAACAGATCTAGAGTTTACCCCCTCCCCTCCCTTAGTTGGGGAACGGGACCTGAAGCGCTAGGTGCTAAATGGAGTTGGTGTCGCGCCACAAATAGTCCACTTCCATTTCATTGTGGGCGTTAATAGCTCACGTCAAAGTGGGATTCCAAGTGGATTCCGGAAAATCAAAAAACAAAAAAAAGAGCATCCAGATTTTTTTAAGCGTACCCCCCTCTTTTTGGTAAAAACCTCGCACACGAGAGTTAGTCGGGGCTGAGATCATCTGGAATCGCCCTATGTTTCAGTTAGCCTCAGCGTATCTTCAAAAAACCGTCTGAACATTAATTTTCATTTTTGTATTGTCATTAATGAGAAGCTCGCCTGGTGGATTATCCTTTCTGGATCACGGAGCCTCTTCGAAAGACGCCACCGTGACGAATTTGGATTTCTAATAAGTCAAGAACTATGCGTTTACCGTTCTGCCTTCTTGGGATAATAAGCATGTTCCTACCTGATTATGGACATTAAGTTCCGGTTCTAAGCTAGCACTTCGAAAGTTCTAGCTCTAACGAAGTGGTACCGCATGGTCCGCGACTAGTCCTTCATGAAGTATCACTCGGGCCAACCAGTTTTCCATTTCTTCGGGTACTTAACAACAGTTTGAATTATGATAAAAAAAGATGAATTACCTTTGTATGTGTCTGCGATTTTGAGTAGAAGTAGGATGCGTGGCGTATCTTGAGAAGGACACATCAATATCGATCGTTTTATCCTTTATTCCAGTCCCGTCTATTTTGTTTTTGCATTCATAGAATAAGTGCTTTGTTACAGCATAATCCTTTTATTCTTTTCATGAGCTGTTTTATATGGTTTTTCCATGTACTTTTTGTGATTGGTTTGGAAATGAAATAATCGGTTAATGGAGAGTTTCTGCAAAAGCTTTTTTCTGAGCCCTAAAGTGCTTAGAGTTAATAAATCCTTTCAGTGTGCGTCATTCATACGACTTTCAATCCAAATGCAGACTCGTTTGAGTACGTAACGAAATTTGCGGTGAACCACTGAAGCTGCCTGTTTCTAGTCACTTTTTATCCCCTGTACTGTCTCCCTTGGAAACCGCATACTTTAGAAAGTAGAGGGGTCTCGCCAGAACACGGCAGGATTGAGTTTCCCAGGATGGAGGATGAAAATGTTTATTACAGCATCCTTCTCATGGAGGAGTAAACGTCTCTGAGCCTTTCAGGGAGCTGGATTTGGCGCTCGAGGAATGTTGGGTCAGAGGGGTCGTATCTGGTCTTCTGACAGTTTTCAGCTGTAATAAGTGTTTTTATGGGATCTCTTGTCTTTTTTCTAAAAACCTCAATGACGCAGACGCTCACTTACATCAGATCCTGCAGAACTGAGTAGGCACTCTTATGCAGTGTTCACTTACGCCTACAAAAAGCTTGAAAAGACGAAAGTACGAATTCGTCATGCAAAACGGCTAACACAAAGTAAACAAAGATGTGGCAAACATTCTGGAATTTTTGCTTCAGTTGTGCTATGATAGCCTTCGCTAGGGGGGGGGGGGGTGGAAATCGATCACTCCCGCTAT